TTCCATGTACTTTCAATAAAAATTGGTTTCAAAACTTTTTTTCAAAAAGTACGGAAAAAAAGTGTTTATATCACGGGGGACGGCAGTCCCCCAAGTGACGCAATACCAATATACATATGAAATATGAATCGTTGGGGAGAAAAAGTAGCTCTTATTTTTCTCCAAATAATACTGCAACATGAAGTTTTTTCCACACGGTTTATTTGTTGTAATACAACAAATAAACTATTCATAAAAAACTTTATGTTGCAGTATTATTTGGAGAAAAATAAGAGCTACTCTTTCGCCGCAACGATTCATATGTATATTTTCCGTCACTCTATATATACGTTGAAGACATTAAAATCTAAACCGCTGACTTTTGAAAAGGGGTTTTTGCATATTTTAGTAGTGCTTGGGCACCAAATTAAGAATCCGCAAAAAAATTCCAAAATTTGGCCGCCAGGTGGCATTTTGAAAAAATCGCTGAAAATTCCTTTTTTCCGATTTTTGACCACCGAAATTATTTTTTCGAATTTTTTTTTGACATATTCGGAATCTAGGGACTGCGTAGATAATGTTAAAAAAAAAGATCATCACGATCGGTTGAAAAGTGGACGAGATATGGTCAATTGGCCAAAAATGGCCAAAAACCTCAAAATTGGCCGATTGATATGTTTGTATGAACACTTTTTTTCCGTAGTTTTTGAAAAAAAGTTTTTTTTGCAATTTTTATTCAGAGTAGATGGAAAACTGAGAATATATGTGCTTTTGAAATTTGCGATTTCGTCTCGCATGTCTTTCGGGTCTTGGGTCGAAAATTTTAGGGAGGCCCTTTTTGAGTTTTTCATCAAGACATTTTTCTGGCCATCTGTAAGGTACAACAATGATTTAAACGTCGTTGGAAAGGTAAAAAGCTCACCTTTCCGGATCCGAAGTCAAAACGGAAAAATGTTCAAAAATGTTCACCAGGTGGCGTGTTATGTGACATTTTCGGCGAAAAATGACCATGACTTTTTTCACGTAATCCAAATTTAAAAAAAATTGTTTACATAGAAATAATCAAAAAACTAGGCGTTTGTTGGGGACCAAATATGTGATGATTTGGTGTATGTGTCATATCTGGGAAAATTCGTTTTAAAAAAAAATCGCATCCCGAAGTTGAAATTTTTTCTCGGCCAATTTTCCGGCAATTTTTGATCACAGGTAGATGGGTATTTTTCAATAAAATCACGGCAATTCTTGACATATTGGAAAGGCATTAAGGTCATCTTGATGGAGTAATAAAGAAATTTTGAAAAAAAAAATCAGCGTAAAAGGTTAGATCAGGATGACTAGACCTCGAAAAACGGGGAAAATCGATGAAAATCGAAGTTAATCGTCATTTATCTTGAAAAAATGTATGTCTTGCTTCGATTTTTTCCTCATAGATCGGAAGCGCAGTCAATTTTGAGCCGATATGCACATTTTGAAACGACAACATTCTTTTATTTTGTGAAAATTGAGAAAAGTTTGAACTTGGGCAGCCACCTATATTTTAATATCTTAGTAATCAACTGCAATGTACTAGGTTTTTACTTTGTTTGTTCACTTTGACAACTGATTTTACATATTTTAACCGTTTTGAGAAATTAGTTCAATTTTTTCAGATTTTCCGGCTTGAAACCTTTCTTTTGGAATAAATTGGTTTTTATTCGATTGCTATGAAAATTGGTATTTGTGGGTTTTTTGGTACGATAATTTGAATATGACATTTATTTTGCAGTAGAATTCGTTCATGGTACATTTCCTACACAAAAATCTTCATCTTTTGCCATTTTGAAGATATTGACGGTAACCAAAATACTATCAAAATTATTGATATAAGTAAAAAACACTTCTTTCGAAGTTATTGCGTCGCCTCTAAAATGAAAACACAAAATGATTGACATGTCTAAAAGTTAGAACAGAGCGTTTTTATATCAGAACATTTTCAGATTTACAGTATTGCGTCACACTGGGAACTTCGAAAGAAGTTTTATTTTACTTATACAAACATACCACCTAGCCAATTTTGAGGTTTTTGGCCATTTTTGGCCAATTGACTATATCTCGTCCACTTTTCAACCGATCGTGATGATTCTTTTTTACTTTTCCGAACACCTAGTGTAGGAAAGGTATTGTATTAGGCCAAAAAATTAAAGTCACTCCAAAACATGTTTTCTATGCATATTTAATGTAGAAAACAATTAATGTGCGTCGCTGTGTGTGATGTGTCCTGTGTCCTGTGTCCTAAGGCGTGTTGCCAAAATTTGTTAACTCGATAAATCTTCTTCCAAAAACTCAATTCAAATTCTGACTTTGCAGGATGATTTGGGACTACTGGGAGAAGTGCTGATTAGTTTTTGAGCAATATCTGTTGACCGGTGTAATTTTTTTTGGTCCGAATGGAGTACCCACAATTCATACATTTTACTTTTACTTTTCCGCACACCTAGTGTAGGAAAGGTATTGTATTAGGCCAAAAAATTAAAATCACCCCAAAACATGTTTTCTATGCATATTTAATGTAGAAAACACGATTGGAGATGATTTTGGGGCATATAAATGTGCGTCGCTGTGTGTGATGTGTCCTGTGTCCTGTGTCCTGTGGCGTGTTGCCAAAATTTGTTAACTCGATAAATCTTCTTCCATAAACTCAATTCAAATTCTGACCTTACAGGTTGATGTGGGACTACTAGGAGACGTGCTGATTAGTTTTTGAGCAATATCTGTTGACCGGTGTAATTTTTTTTGGTCCGAATGGAGTACCCACAATCCATTTTACTTTTTTGATCATTTTTCAATCATTTTGGTGACACGATGGTTTCGTGCTCAGACATAAAATTCAAAATCTGACTTTACGGGATGATTGGGCATTACAAGGAATAGATCTGGTCAAATTTTCAACGACATTGATTGATCGATGTAAAACTTAGACTGTGAAGAGGCACTTATGAGAAAAATGCCTCAAAATGATATTCTTTCAATTTGAACGCTGAAAGCATGTATAGTGGGTAGGTTTTTTGGCACGAGAAACCCGAATTTTATGTTAGTTTTAAGATGCAATCAATTTTTCACAGACTTTTCATACAAACATCCACAAAAAATTTCATTTTTGTATGAAAAACTTGCGTGTGTGGTACCGTAATGATGTGAAACTTTGAAAGGGCTATTTTTTTTATTGAAATTTCTTTAAACTTGGTGTGATTATTTATTTTGATAAGAAAATAATATTCACAAGTTTTCACGGTAATTTAATTTACTGCAACCATCATTTCTGTTTATTCCCAAAATTTCGGTTCCATGCGGAAAAGTCAGCTTGCGTACGTGAGCCTCTTTATATTTTTTTTACTTTGGACAGTACAGCGAAGAAATTTTGAAAAAAATTTAGTTTAATCTCTTAATTTCGTCTCAAAACTTTCCTAACATATGTTAGTAACCTCTAGTATGCTCTGATTTTGTATAGTAAGAATTAGTGTCTTCACCTAGATTGTTAAGCACAAATGATGAGAGTGCGACATTACTATTGTGTTGTATTTTGAATAATTTCAACTTATTAAAGCTACATAATGTAAGAAGTTTTTCCAGGTCAATTCACATCATATACATACCATAATTTTACACTTCGCCACTGTTGTTGCAAGATCGTTCCGGATTCAAGTTTCTTTAAGTTCAATTAAACGCATTGCAGGCGATGTTAATTTGTAAATTTTGCTTTTATTCTTCAATGTGTCAACTTTTTTACTCATTACTGTATTTTGCAATTCTGTTACTCTTCAAGAAGGTAATTGCCATCCCACCAACAACACAATAAGCTTTTTGCTCATTATAAATTTTCAATATTTTTCGGAGTTTTAACAAATTATATTTGTCATTTTCTCTTGAAAAAAATCACTAATTTATGTATTACAAACCTTTCGAAGTTTTTTATTCAAATATGTTCACTTTTCACATAGTATTTGAAAAAAAAAATCCTAAGCTTGAACTAAATGTCGAAAGAAACTGAGTAGCACGAAGAAAAGTGAAATTTCACGTTGTTTGAAGCGTTTATTATATACGAATTGTTTTTTATCTATACATCAGAATAGTTTCCAAAACAACAATTTGTGAGCGAGAAGAAATTGTTATAGCAAAGTATTGAAGACAACATTGGAAAATGAATGAACCAAATAAAAAACCTAATAAACGCACGAAACCATCCCAATAAATTCGCGGGTGTTGCAAAACTGAACTGTATGAGCCCAAAATGTGCTGTTAAGAATGATTTTTACTGCATATCTTATGGTTTGACTAAAGAGAAAATGTCAATGAAAAGCTTTCGATGTCTCGCTTAGACCCCTTTGTGCGAAGCGCTTTCATTTGTTTTCGTTGATGTTTTGTGTATGTGATTGTGTGAATGGCAACTTGAGAAGACTTGCGTCTGTATTCTTTTGTATTAGCGTTTGTATATTTGTAGTGGTTTTTGTTTGCGTGGATGGATGTGCATAATGTTTTCCACATTCGAATGAACTACTGCTCTATTGGAATTTGCCAACCATGTTCTTGTATAAAATTCACGTGTGCGAGAAATATATTGCTTACATTCTATTGCCAATGTAAAGCTCTCTCTCTCTGAAGCAATGCATGTACAATCATCGCAGTGTAAGATTGGTTTAAATAGTATACTATTTTTTATAATATGATGTTAGTGCAAATGCACTGGATAAACTTGAAAACGTGGAGTTCAGAGGATTGAGACTTGAAGGTGCGTGTTTCCATGTATGTATTGAAGTTCATACACACAACTCAACGGAATTCGACCGGATCAGAACGAACAAATGGTGATGCAACCAATGTCGTAATTCATCATCAGCAATGACGTAATTTGAAAACGACTCCTTACCTCGGCATACATTTCAGCTTCAAATGTGGCGAAATTTCCTAATTTAAAACACAGTGTTATCCATTACAATCTAAATTTATAGGTACAATTTTTTTAAGGTTTTAAAAGACTTGGATAATTCATTTTTTTCATATTTTATTCCAGATTTACACAATCAATTTTATATGTTACTTGTGAACTTTTGTAATCGTATGACAGTCTGGCAACGTAGACTTTAATTGGTTTCTGATAATTATATGTGCCTCTTAAGGAAAATGTTCAAGATGAAAAAAGATACATTTTGTTTAAAAAACAAAAATAGAACTCAAGCCATAAGCATTTGATCTATGCCTACGTCGTCAGCTGCTGCCGCTGCCAAACTAGTTGGATCACTTTCGAGAAATTCTCTGAGTTCACTTTCGAGATCCACTGACGGCAATGTCGATGCATCTTTCACTGTATTCTGAATGTCGTCTGGCGATGTATTAGCATCAATATCCATTGTTATTTGCGCAGTATTTCTTTCTGATTTGTCATTGGGTGATATATTTTTATTTCCTTGGAATCCTGTTAATGGTTCCAGGCCAACTACATTGAAAAGTAAAATCGATTCGAACATATTTCACTCAAATAACAATAATTATTGTTAGGGTGTCTAAAATAGGTGCAGGGCGTGCGAATTTCGAAAAACTCTTTCGGGGGTAATTTGGGGGAGAAAAACTAATAATTTGTATCTGGGTAGAATTATTCTCAACAACATTTTATTTAAGTTGTTTTTAAATAAATTTGTAAGACCGTATGATAATCTTCTAATGGATCTTTTTAACGCCTGTATAAGGACATCATTCCTTTATAATACCTTGAAAACGATCCTTTATAAGCGAAATTTTGTATGAGATTAGGCCACGCCTCCGGGCTCCCCTGCGGGTTATAGGTATACGTTTATAGAAACTAAAAGCAACTATAAACCTGCTATGTAACTCATTTGAAGTTGCTTTATAACTTGAAAAATGTTCGTTGGGAAATATATATACGTCGAATCGCGTCGCATATCAAAGCGAAACAAACTAAAACATGACAGAACAGTAGCTAGTTATCAGCACAAAACGAAATTTACATATTTTGTATAATATAAAGTCAATGTTCTTTATTCCTTTGTTGAAAAAATATTGTCTCGCTTTGATATGCAATCGTTTTGAATCGTATTTCGATATGCGACCAAACAATAAATTATTTTTATCGTTCACACAAGAGATAAACCCCACAAATTATTTTGGGATTCCTATTAAAAAATGAATTTGTTAGGTTTCCTTATAAAATCGCAATATTTTAACAGGAATCCTAATAAATTGGCGCGCTTAAACGTCAAAGCCAACCTCACTGTGTTGAAACAAAACATATTTTATTATTTAAAGGTTTCCTAAAAAAATGTTGCCATATTATAAGGAAACCTTACAAATTAATATTTTAATAGGAATCCTAAAATGATTTGTCAGGTTTATTTTTTGTGTGTTCATATGAATGCCTGAGAAAAATCATGACTCAAATATTTTTAATTTGAAGAATGAAACATAAGGAAAAAATAAAGAGGCTTACGTACGCGGAGGTGGGGAGAGTTGGAGGGCAACTGACCCAAAAAATTTCTCTCATCATTCTGAACATCTTTGTAGAACATAATTTTTTTATCCGATGATAAAATCGACATCAACAGAAAAAAATTGGAAAAAAAGCAGAAAACGACCATTTTTGCCAGTTTTTGTATGAAAATTGTATCAAAACGATATTACAAGGAGAGGCAAAAGTTATAAGCCTGACATATGTAGGTGTGGCACCAAAAGATATCGATGATCGCTTGCGTACAGTTTATGGTGACCGTTCTCCATCGTATGCCACAGTAAAACTATGGGCAAAACAATTCAAGTGGGGCAGAGAGTCATTAGAAGACGACCCACGTTCTGGTCGACTAATTGAAGCAACTGCTCCAGATACGGTGGAAAAAATTGAACACCTTGTGCATGAAAATCCTCGAATGAGCAAGAAAGTGTTAGTAGCAATGTTTGACGTGAAGTCAGAGAGAAGTATATTTAGAATCATTCATGAAAAATTGCTCATGAGAAAGGTTTGCTCGCGATGGATTCCAAGAACTTTGAACAAGTCTCAAAAAGAAGAACGAGTTGCTGCTGCACATGAGTTTCTCGAGTTGTTGGAATGAAATGAAGGGGATACTTTTGATCGTATAGTGACTGGCGATGAAACATGGATCTACTACTATGATCCAGAGCTCAAATCACAGACAATGGAATGGCACAAACGTGGGAACCAGCATCGAAAATGCCTCGCAAACAAATTGCCACAAACAAAGTAATGGCCTCTGTGTTCTGGGATTCCAAAGGCATAATATTGGTTGAATTCCTCCCAAAGAACACCACAGTAACGGGCTATTATTATGCACAACAGATGCATAGATTGCGCAAAGCCATCAGAGAAAAACGCCCTAGTCTTCTCACTCGAAAAGTTCTTCTTTTGCATGACAATGCACCTACTCACAAATCATTGCTTGCACAAGCTGCCATCAGGGAATGCGGCTTCGAACAACTTCACCATCCACCGTATTCTCTAGATCTGGCCCCCAGCGACTATTTCCTGTTTCCAAACACCAAGAGATATCTCAAGGGAAAGCAGTACAAGACCGAAGAAGAGATTTCAACCGATATTTTCAACGTATGGGAGGACAAGAGTGCCGAGTGGTTTGAGGGGGGAATTAAAGCATTGAAGCATTGTTATGAAAGTGTCATTCGTGTACATGGAGACTACTTTGAATAATAAATATACTCATTTAAAAATACAACGTGTCTTGCTATATCAGGCTTAAAACTTTTGCCTCCCCCTGTATATGGCAAAATAAATGTCAAAAATGGATTCCTCGACCCCAAGAATCCCCGCATACACATTTGGCTAGAGAAAAAATAATGTTTTTTTGAATTTTTAATGCAATGTCTAAGTCGATTTTTGAGTATTTTTGAAAATAACTGTCAAAAAATTCCGCAGACTCGAAATTCATTTTAGAGGTATGGTTTCTTGGGCAAAAATACTTGTTACGATCCATAGTACCAGAATTGCGATGATGCTTTGAACTTTTTTTCAGCGTCATACAATTTGACCCACCGTGTCATAGTTTCGAAGAAAAAAAATCAGTGCTACCGCATCGCACCGAGCACTCTCGAAAAGCAGTATATAACTCAATGTATAGTGAGCGCTACGCGTCACAGATTCGCTAATGTATGGCAAAATTAACGTCAGACATATTTTTTATAGTGTTTTGTTAGAAAATAGAATACTTTCAAATGTCTTACAAAGGGGTTCATCATGAAAGTGTGAAAAATCTTTTCTCGGGTACTTCAGCTATTAAATTTAAGAATATTTCGTTGTCAAAGTTGAAACATATTTTTTGGTCTCGAACTTTACGCTGCTTGAATGGCTTGAAAAATCGAACAAATATTATTTTGAACTTTCTTAATAAATTACGCAACTACCACCGTGCGGAAAAGTTCGTCTTACTCCCGTAGGACTCTTTATTTCGACTCTCTTCTTGCTGTTACTAGGCATGTTTATATGATTGTCCGAGAATGAATGTGAGTCTTCTCGTGAGAGTTTATTGAAATGTAACACCGCCATACAAAAATTGCTGACAGTCAGTCACATTCATTCCCGGACATTCATATAAAATTCTCGGAGACTTGGTATATTGCACAAAAATATTGAAAAATACGCTGTAGTCTGTACCCTTCACGCAAAAATTTGTTAACACGATAACTTTTAAACAAGAAAAGTAATTCAAAATCTTGGAGTTGCCAGGCACTCAAGGTACTTTTCAACTCTCAAGCATTTTATCGATGGAATTATCCGAGTACAAAATAATTTTAAATCGTTTTAAATGCATTCTAATGGATTGTATGCCATGCCAACTCGTTATAAAAATTGATTAAAGTCAATTTGGAGTCTCAAAAATGTATTTGAGTGGAACATGGTCACAATCGAAAAAATTATGAAAAATTTGCGTTTAACTTTTCCGCACACACCCAGTGTGTAAGGTAAAGTATTGGAATCGGACGAAAAATTGACACCCATCAAAAATGTGTTTTCTGGGTGTTTTTGGGGCCAGGGAACACGAACCCCTGTACTCTGTACCCTGTACCCTGTACGCTGTACGCAAAAATTTGTTAACACGATAACTTTCAAACCAGAAAAGTAATTAAAAATCTGACTTCACAGGATGATTGAGGGTGCCGAGGAATAGAAACCATTAGATTTTGAGCGACTTTGGTTGATAGAGTGAAGTGTCATGTCTTGTGTGATGCCCATGGCCATCCATGGGTAAAATTCAATTTTTCTTCCAAAAGTGATATTTAATGTATTCTTAAACACTCAAAAATATGTATTGGGGGTTTTTTAAGTTGATAAGTGATATTTAATGTAAACTTAAATCAAATAAAAAGCTTCTGACGAAATGAAGAGCGAGTGACGAAACCAAAATGTTAAACACAACATTTCTGATATCAATTATATGACGAAAATAAATGATAGATAATTTTTCTGTGAACTGTGAATAAAAACTTAATATACATTTGAACATTCAAGTTAGGCTAGTTTTCGAGATTATTGCCGTTATTTGTCCGGCCGAACGGCTTTGTGACTTTTGGAGGCTGGCCAGGGCCGACATGGCGGCCATATCGAAAAGTGCCGGAACAAAAAAGTCTTAGTCTTTTATGAACTTTAATCACAGAAAGTTTCAAAAAGATCAAAAACAACTACGCAAAATTGCGCACAGACAGATATACCAAATAACTTTTATAGGAAAATCATATGACATTTTTAAAATGCGGAATTTTTCGAACAGATTGATCTATTTCGACGTTTGAAGTTTCGTTAGAAACGTATTGAGTTCTAGTATAAGAATATCGATGTTTCAGGTGTCAACGACCTCATTTAGTGCCATTTATGGCCATATAACTGAATTTTGACCCTTTTCTTGAAAGGACCATATTTTGAAGACAGGTGGATCGATTTTCGAACTTTTAGATTTTTTCTTGATCTATGGCCCAAGGGCTTTCCAACCATACATCAACTGGGGCCAACGGCCTTCTAGGTCTGGATTTCGTATATTACGTGTATATACAGCAAGTTGACTTTTCAACACACTAATGTGGTTTCGTCACTCGCGCGAACTGCCGTCTGCTGTGATACTCAAAAATATGTATTGGGGGTTTTTTGGCACGAGAAAACCGAATATGACATGAGTTTTGCGATGCAATCAACTTTTGGCACACTTTTCATACAAAAATTTCATAAAATTTGGATTTTTGTGTGGTCATGGTTTCATGTCTGTATGATATTGTAATGACCTGGAACTTTGCACAGGTTATTTTTATCACACAAAAATAACATTCCGAGTACTTCAGCTATTAAATTAAAGAATATTTCGATGCTAATGTTTTAGTAATGTTTCGATGCCAATGATTGTACTCCAGTAAGACACTTTATTTTGAAAGTAAAATTAAGTAAACAAATTATTTCATTTGATTGGTCAACTTTAAAATGAGCAGGAAAAAACGAAAATTTTGTATGGAAGGTATCCCTAAATTGTATTGAAATTTCTTCAAACTTTCATAATAGAAAAGTTCATCTTACGGATGTAGGACATTTTATTTTTAAATGAAACTATATAATCAATTCCACCATGTAGAGAGGTTCAGGAATAATTTCACTGAAAATAAGTGGAATGTTGTTTTTTTTTTTGTCTTATGAATAACGCCTATTATTCTCGCTATGTGGTGCAATGTTTATTAGAAACAATATTCATTCATAGAAATATATTTTTCAGAATAATTCCGAATAAATTGATCGCAAAAGTGTATTAAAATACCGGCCCTGATAGAAATTATTAGTTTTTCACCCCCAAAGGGTTTCTCGAGTGAAGCCCCCTATAGGAGACACCCTGTATAATAACATGGTATAACCGCCCTTGAACACTAAAAAACCAACCTAGATTTTTTTTTTCATTTTTTGCTCTACCCCAATGTAAAATTTTATACTAACCATTTGAAATTCCCATGGCCTTTCTTAAAGCAGAGGCCGATACGAGAGAGGAGGGTGGTAGCTCTTTTGCAATCTCTTTCAAATTGTTTGTGATTTGAGTGGCTAGCTCGAGTTCATCTTCACTTGGATGAGCGACATTCGATAAATGTGTTGGTAGGTTTTGTGACAAACGTTCATTTTGCACCTGACGCAGTCGACCAAGCAACTCTGAGTTATTTTCCAAACGATTTTCCAAGCTTTTGTATATTTCAAAGGTTTTAACGTCTTCTTCCATTTCTAAGGGGAGAATCATAAAAGAAGAGAACGAATAATCAAAAAATAATTAGTGAATAATCGAAAAATAATCAGCAAATAATCGAAAAAGAATCAATAAGAATTAATTGATAATAAAAAGGCAATTTTTAAGTAAATTGCCCCTTCTTCCATACCGCTAAGAAAGTCGATGTTTACCCCGACATCACTAAGAGTACGTAGGACATCAAAATCAATTTTAGTATCTTTATATTTTTCGTATTCATCGTCAACCGTTGGATTGGGAAACGTCCTTTGTACTTCGCTATGTTCGAATTTTTGTCGTGAATTTTCTGATAAAGTTGCCATTGTTTTCCGATGTTCACCATTTGTAAGAAAGTCTAATACGGCATTTGCCAAAAAACTACCATGTTGACTGTATTTTGTGAATTCAATTATACTGGCGGCATACTCTGAATTTGCTTCATCGCCTGAAATGGTAATACTATGGTCACACTTACTTTGCAATTTAGTTCGATTCGAAACATACCATAAGTATTTAAAACCAGTTCGACTTCTTCCTTACCTGTATAGAATAAAAAAATAATAGAAATAATTAGAATAAAAAAAAAATAGAAATAATTTCAAATAATCGATATAATGAAAACATATAATAAAAATAATCGACAAGGAATCAAATGCATTAATAAGAATTATAGGATAATAGAAAAGCAATTTTTAATCCCTTTCTTCCTTACTCAAATTAGAAAATCTCGAATCATAAATTGGTGCAAAGGAACAATATGTTCCATAATTTAATGGTTTCACAATCTTTGCATTATTTCGACGATCCTCCCGAAAACTTTGTATTTGTCCAGTTCCACTTTGCAATTTTCCAGTAAACGCGCCAATCGATACGATTCTTTCGGGACATGAATTTTCGATGTCGACTAAAATTTGCATACTTGTTGTACCTGAAATTGTCCGAAAAAATTGGAGTTTAGTAAAAAATATATATTTATGAAAATCTACTATTATTGAGTCAATGGAGGAAAATGACAAATTGATTTATATATATATGATCGGCTGAGAATAAAAGTGACTTTAAGTTTTTTTAAACCGTCTCCATCTTATGTAAACCCTATACAAATTATGACACACTTTTAAGATTTTTTCTGCTTAAAGTCTCTTTTATTACCAGCCGTATATGAAAAAATCCCAAAAAATTCGGGTAAATATATAAAAAGGTGTGTTATACCATCCTTTTTATGTCGCAAAAAGCCCATTTTATTTGCTCGTTTACGTTCGGAAATTTTTTTCTTTGCTTTCGCAGCTGCATCTTGAACTTGGGCAAGAATTTCTTCTGACGTTAAATCATCTAAGAATGGTTCAAATCGTGATTGTGGCTCATTTTCCAATCTGCAGAAATATAATTATATTTAAAAAGTTTTCAAAAAGATTACCAATAACTTAAGAATTATAGTCCATAATACCATTTTACCTGATATTTTGACGTTTGACCTCTTCTTCAAGTTGAGCTATATTTACTTCATCCACACCGGTTGACATGGATTCATCAGCTGAATCGACCATCATATGCAAATCATTATAATGATGCCCTTGAGACACATCAAATCCCAATGCTGTGGTTGAGAGTTCTTGTAAATAAATTTGAAGTGGTTTCAAACGAATGAGATTTCCAGGTTTCAACATTTTGAGACCAACATGAAGCAACTTTTTAGCAGCAATATGATATACTGTATCTTCTTGATTATATTGAATCGCATTCATACAGATTAGTTTAAAGTCGTCAATAAATTCAATTAGTGTTTGATATTTGCTATCTTCTATTTTAGAACGAATAGTAAAAAAATCCATTGGGTTCGTAATTATATTTGAATATCCGGGTGCAATATCGTCAGACACAGGCCATGCAAAAAATTGTTGTGGGTCTTTTTTTTCAAGTAAACTCAATAAATGACTCAATAGTTTACTCAATGGTTTTTGACGCATTTTTATTACACACGTTCTGGCTCCACTGTCACTGGTAGATGATGGTGATTTCAAACTATCTGAACGCACACTACTCATACTTGGACTTTGTTCACTGGCCAATGAATCAAGTATCGGTGATTTCAATGGTAATAGTAGGAGTGGTGTTTGTGATACTGAAATCGATGCTGGACTAGCACTATCGCTCAGCACTGGATTATATCGTAATGTACTGTCACTTTGAAATTGTGCACTGTCTTCATTTATACTGAAATCCTCTTGGCTTGATTCGTCTTGTTCATTTTCAGTGCGATCTCTGGATTCATCGAGATGGCGTCGTTTTTCTTTGTGATGTTTATGTTTTTTTTCGCGATCTTTTTTCTTTTTTTTCTTTTTCGATTTTTTATGTCTCTCCGGATAGTCCATTAAAAGACCTAAACTTTCTGGTTGAATGCCACCATATACGGGCGGAGATTCACTGCTTGCATATTCAGGCGTTGAACTATTCCCAGTTCCAACTTTAAGTATAAGTTTCAAACTCGGAGGTCTCTCCAAAGAAAATGGTTGATCTTATAACAAAAATAATAATACAATTTTCATAATTTGTTTTAGTCAAAGAGTATATTAGAAATAAATTATTTACAAACCCTCATATTTCTCTCGTCTCTCCGATTTATGTTTTTTATGCTTTTTCGACCCCATTTAAACAATCTTTTGTATAATGATAGACAATAGTAATAACTTAGCGTCTGTTATTAACTCCGCGAATCTACTCCAGAAAAATCTCAATATTTTTCCATTCAAAGAATTTTTAACAATAATTATATGGATTTTATATGAGTTTTAGTATTTTTTTCTAAAAAAAAAAAACAAAATATAGAATTTGTATCAGAGTCCTGGTAAATGTGTAATTTTTCAGCTTTGGCTTGTTCATCACACAAAAATCCGCATTATTGACAGAAGAATGTTTGACTAGTTTGCAGTTGTAGATGTCGCTTTGAGAAACGGGAAAACCCTATTGATAAAACGTTTTTCAATATCCAACTGTCACATCTAATTCTTGCAATAATAATTGACAATTATTGTTGACAACGCTCCTAAATTTTTTGACAGTATTTCGTAAAAAAAAAGCAGAGAAATTGAATGATTATCAAATATAGAAACATGGTTTTTTTGACGAATTTTATTTATTCTGATTGAATTTTCTAATTTAATGAATTAATTGAAAATACATTTCTGTTTGTGTCGGACCGTTTTCAATTAATTTTAAATGAATGCAAATTAACAAAACTTAATAAAAAGCGGTTTTTAATCATCCAATTGGAATATTGCTCACCTGATCTATGTGAGATTCAATTAAATGTTTAGGTTATTATTCATTTTGATTTTGTTTGTCTTATTATGTTAAATGTTGAACAAATATTCTCTAATTGATTGGACAAAAAAATGGTCAATTTTTCGATCCGGTGAAATTTTTCACTTAAGCCTCAAGCTCAAGAGCGATGCCTACTTTGTGGCCACCAGTGTTGAAGTTTTTGCCATCAACCAAAGTACTCAATGCCAACAAGACACCTGGACGAACCTTTGTCTGGAATCCAAGACCTAAATTCAATTAAAGATTTTCAGTTAGACTTCACACTTCTTTAAACAACATTTTATTTCGATAAACGTTGTGTACTAACCAATAAGGCTGTCATTGCTGATCTTTGCGCGAACGCTGCTGTTTTTATCCAAACAGTATTGGGCGCCAATGCCGAATTTGGTTGCGTTTGATCCTGAAGTCCAGGCCAATTGAACACCTAGATAATATGAAATCCAGAAAGTGAATAGATGATACAAGTACTTACAAATTGTAAATTATATTTACCAGCGTTCAAGTCATCATTGACTTTATGGAAAATGGATCCATTGAATTCTTGTCCATCCTTCCTAAATATTTCGATGTGATTGATACAATTGATTTAGACAGAACACCTATAACAATCAATTATAATATATAGAAATACTTACACGGTTGTAGTTACGGCAAGTTCTTTATTTGTGTATCCCAAAGCAAAGTTATTTGTGACCAGCTTGGTTTTTTGCGTATCAAATGCAGTTTGGTAACCAGCTAGCCAACCTTCATATCCGACAACAGCTGATGCATTAACAACCGGACCAGCCAAATCCAAGTTAACATCGCTGTTTACAGTAACCAAGTCGTGACCATAGGAGGCCTTGACTTTGCCAGTTTTGTTACCTGATTGTGGTGCAAATGTACCTTCGAATGTCAATTTCAATCCTTTCAACAATTTATCATTGTGAGTTATATCAGTGAACAATGTATTGTCTGTGTTCCATTTTTCCGAGAAGGTTAAACCGTATTCGGGAACCTTTTATAATTGTATAATTGGTTATTTTATGAACATTCCTGTGTCACAATAAAACCACCAAGGCGAAGAAACGCTGTTCGGTGCAGTTATTATTATACATTTACACATACCTTATATTTGGTTTCAAGTGAACCAAATACTTTTCCACTTTCTTGGTTTGAGTGTCCACTAGTTGAGAATTCAACACCGGTGTTGGTCTTTGTTTTCACGTCCAATTTCCAAACTCCAAAATTATATCCCTTGTTGAATACATCACGGGCTTGTTTGCCAAGATCAGCATATGATGGTGGAGCCATCTAAAAATACCATTGAAAATATACACATTAAAATTGAATTAGTGAAATGCCACACAAAATACAAGAAAAATTACAGGGAAAAAAATGCTATGTTTTAAAATGAGAATTAAAAGTAAATAATGCAGTAAATTTACTAATTTCTTTTTTTGATAATTATCAACATTTAATGATGTAAACAAATTTTTCATTGTTGGCGCAACGCATAAGTACCCAACGGACAAATATGTAACGTTTTTAGGACATTTTAACGTTAAAAAATGTAACGCTTTAATCCATTTTTGTGGCAATTTTCGTGTCAAATGGAAGGTAGAATATAGGCATAATGTGAACCACTTTGCGATACACAACAACATCTTCTGTGTGTTTCGATTGTTTCTCTTTTCGTTATTATATTCTAAGAAACTGTAGCGGCAATACAATGTAAACAAATGTAAATAACATAAACTCGTTGAGTTCATAATATCGTATTCATACGATTGATTTTAAGCAAATGAAATTTGAAAAACAAACCGGAAAAAAAAGAGGATGAAAATACAAATTTTACTCTCTGTGTGTGTTTAGATTGTGCATGAATAAAAAAAAACATTGCGTAGGAATTTCAAGTGACTGTGAAATACATTTATAAATGTACCTTTTTTTTAGATTTGTTTGATTTGATTTTAGTTTCAGAAACATTTTTTTATTTTTTTTATTTCATAATTCAAATTCGAATTTCGAATTCGAAACATGTTTGAATGTGTACGACATTTGACAGTTGGTAGCTGTGTGTATTGGTGTGTATCATATCGAAGCCGATTTTTCTGATTACATTCAAAATGTGCTTCGTAAACATTGCATCGTATCAATTAATTTCTTTGAACAATGTATGAAATTATAATTCCGGCATCGAACTAAATAGGGATTTTTTCGCATCAAAATATTTTGAAGTTATTGTTAAGAATAAGGTAAGTAATTATGGTTAAGTTGCCATTGTATTGAAAAAAAAAAAACAAAATTCAGTGATTAATAAATGGAATTCTTGTATATGAGATTCATTTTTTGTTTATCGTCATTTTAGCAACGGTTTGGTGTTTTTGGAACGTAACTGTAGAAGTCACTCGATGTCAAATGGAAAGATTCACAGTCCGTTTTGTGACAGTCTTTGTTTTCATTTCAAAATGAAAAAAAACATTTTCATCGTTTTAATCAGGACACAGCGTTATATAGTATAAGAAGTTATTCATTTGAATTGTGATATGAGTGTGTTCTCATTTTTTGTTTGTAACAAATTGTGCTTTGCTTGTAAAAGGAATTCTTGAGAATTATGTGTGAGTGTTTATATTAGAGTATGAAACAATTTGTTTGTCGTCATTTTTGGCTAACATTTGTTCCAATGATTTTGTTTGTTCGATGTTAAACGGATAAATTCACTGTTGGTTTTGAGATTGTCTCTGTTGTTATTTCAAAATAAGAAAGCATTCATAAAATTGACGGTGAATATTCCAACAAAATTTTCATCTGCGGAATATTGGAAAACATTTCATCATTTGAATCAGAATACAGAGTGACATCGTTGAGGTAAGAAGTGATTAATTTGAATTGTGATATAAGTGATTGTCATTTAAATTGTGATCTCATTTTATTCGTAATCTATGCTATTTTTGTTGCATTTTTTTTCTAAATTTTATTTTCGAATAATTTAATCAGTTTTTTGAGAATGAACAGAAAAAGACATGGATGACGACGAGCTCGATGATAATCAACCAGAAGAAAGCAAATACGTTGTAATAAAATGTGGACTTCAAACAATCCTGCGACAACAACATGAACGGATTGAAAGAGTTGGAGAAGCTGTGACCAAAATGCTATTCGAGCGCAGTGTTCAAATGACAGAAGTGGCAGCATTGGCATCACTTTTTATTCTTTTTATTTTGAATGAAGCACTTGATAATGACGATCGTGCATTTTTTTTGCAACCACATCCAAGCCTGTTCATTGCCGATTGTTTCAGAGCGGTATTAAACCAACACGTTAACAATATTAATAGTCAATATCGGATATTGCCCGAGTTTCGTTTCATGGTAGAAAGAAACAGTGAAGAACAGTTCCGATGGCCAGGTGATGAAAAGTTGGGAAATGGTTTAAGATATTTTTATAAACAATATATCACAAACATTCAAACCAATACCAACACATGGTGTGAAAAACGACTTGAGAATTTTTTCGAATGCGTTGTTGGTATCGCAATCGATTCAACAATGGCTCAAGATTTGATAGCATCGACATCAGAAATGCCAAAGAGTTTTCATATCGATTTAAGAATTTAAAAAATGTTTTCAAACAATTCAATATTTTAATGAGAGATTTGACTGAAATTGGATGGTCGGGAACAGTGAGTATGAAATTTTTCGCAAAATATCGTTGGTTTGAATCACTGTGGTTGTTCGGTCAAATGCAACGGCAAATAGAAGTGTATCACAGTCATGCCGAACAATGGAATACCATTCATGAAATGTTTCGTAACAATCCGAACTTTCAAGAGCCAACAATCAATCGACCACCAAAAATAAGCAGTTTTGCTCTTATTACCATTATGCGATTACCATTTGAAAAACGTGCGATTGGACATTACGGACTTGTATTATAAAATTGTAAACAAGCTTGATTTGGTGCCTTCTTTTCTCAATACGCGGACCAACCGGATGAATAAGAGAAAAGTAGAGTACTACACCCAAACTGATCGATCAGGTCCATGGAATATGTTGTTCGATGTCGGTAAAATAAATAAATTGGGCAAATCGAAACCATTCCATCATCAGATTTTGACCGATAGTGTTTCAATATTCATAATGTACAAGAAACCACAGCGACAACAACGACCACAGCAAACATACCAAGCGAATCGGGGGCCGGAAAAACGCATTGGCAAGAAATACATCATTGGAATCGATCCGAATGAAAAATCGTGGTTAACTGTAGTGCGTCGCAACATTCAAAAAACACCTGATGAGCCGGCTGTTGAGGTAAGATATTTTGAAATGTAATTTGAAATGGTTTTGAATAGAAACTCATAGTTTTTTGTATCATTTTGCATTTTGAAGGAAAACATTATAATACCAAACCAGCGTTTTCATTGGAAAACTCAGCAGAAAAAACGAGACAAAGAAGCGAAAAAGTTGGCTGGATGGTTTGATATCGAAGAGAAGGAACATCTCAAAACATACCCATATCGTCCACCATCACCACGTAATTCAATATGGAAATCATACATTGAATATCGCATTAAAATGTTACGAAAAGGAATGGCAGCTTATGCGACGCGTGAATATGCACGACTGAATTTAGACCATCACATTCGCTCGACCAGAGTAAATGATCAAATCGCCGTGCGTGTGACAAACAACAAACCGTCGTTGGTTCAATTTGGTGCTTGGGCGATGAAACCCGATCGACCGTTTGGAATAAAAAAGCGTAAAAGATGTCCGGGATCGCGTAAGTTTTGTGTGAGCATTAAGAAACTTGGACATTCAGAAGTTGAAATGCAAGATGAATGGGGAACATCACAAACATGCGCGAATTGTCAGGAACGTTTTCCAAGGCACACAAAAGATGATCGATTTAAAGTGTGCTACGATTGTAGAGCGAAAAAGATTGATGGCCTGCCAGATTCAGTCGCTGGACTGCCAGATATCATTGTGTCAACGGTCAACAGACGTGTTTTGAGAAGAAAACGTGCAATTATTAAGCGACAAATTATCGATGGCAATCGTGAGGCTGTGAACGAAAAACTTCGGACTGGGCGTTTAATGTCAAAGGTTAAAGTTACCTACAAAAATTGGCCATTAAATGTTGATGATGATGATGTTGTTCCACAAACAGTTACTTGGCACCGAGATATTGTTGCAGCAAAATGCATTATGCTCAAAGGTATGAATCAATTGGAAACAGAATATTCATTATTTAATGTATTTGCTTTAAATTACATAGGACTTTGCCGGATCTTTGATGTACCATTGCCAGTTTCATTGTTAAGACCGCCGGACTAAAACAACAATGTCAACTAACAAACATCATCAATTAATCATACATTCAAAAAATTACATAAAATAAAATATTTTAACTATTATAGTTAGCTTAGCTAGACATGAACAGACTATATAAAGTCTTGTGGTCTAGTTGTACAATAGTACAACATTGTACGGAGGGGGAGTGCCCGTAGGTGAGTAAAGTTTTTAATTTAAAAAAAGTATTTTATACCCAGTTCAACTGATACTAATGGTTGTCTTTCCCTTTTTCCATGTTTTCACACCTGAATGTTCCACCATGCCAAACCTATGGAAATGACTGAAACTACACACGAATCTAACCCTGAAAACGACCGTCAATATGTGCTTCATAATTCTAAAAAATATGTATGCATTTTGAAAGAATGATATATTTTTTGCTATGAACAGCCAGAAGAACAAATTTTTTTTCAAAATCGTCACTCTCGCAACATGCATTATTATGCGCAAAAACTTTTCGCAAAGATTGGTTATGTTTCCAGAAACAGATAAATGTCATGTGATTAAAATTATGTCATTGTAGTGAAACCGAGGATTGAAGAACTGAAACTAAAAATGAAAAACGAATGACCAGAATAAATGATGAAATTTAAAACGAAATGCTGAAATTCACAATAAAATTAATTTGTTACACATTTGCACAACATAAAACCTATTATGAGAGATTGATCGCAAACTAGAGCAACGTAACATTTGTTCTTCATGTTCTATATTTTATTGATTTTCCTACGATGTGTGCTGTTAATTCATTCCCTTCCTCAATTTTTTCCGAATTCAATATACATATATACATATATTATATAACATGTGGATTGATCCAGTTCATACTGATTGAAACAATATTTTTTCATTAGATTTATCAAGATTGACATGGATTTTTTTTTTTGAAAAAACAATTGCGTTCAAAATTCATAAGTTATGCATCAGCTCCGTCACCATGGTACATCAATTGAATAAAAAGCCGCAAATTATTACGTAACCAAAAATTTTATCCAAAGAAATTTTCTTATCTGATGAAAAAAAACATTAAAGGGAAAAAACACTTTAAATCATTTCATAAAAGTGAAAAAAATTGTTCGTAATGAAATATATTGAAATCAGTTTTCCTTTATTCTGGTATTTTCTGACCCTGTCCTATAAAAATTCAATGGTGGACTAACGTTGCTGACACGTTTTCTTTACAGAAAGTAATTTTATCTAACAAAATCACTATGATTCACACAAATACGCACATAAATCTATTATTTTAATGTAATTTGTGAGAAATAAAGTGCATTTTACTTACTTTAAATTTGGGAATATAGTTTTTTTTTTATCGAAGTACAAATACACAATTCACCTGAATCGCTCAAAAGCCGACACATGAACTTTTCAACTACTCTTCAATCGAGGTTCTCTAAGGCTTGTCGCGCTATGATATTGTGAATGTATTGCATCTAAATCGATATGAAGTTAACTGTAAGTGAGACATAATCCCAAGTAGCCATTTTCATTGTTTTATTAATTTGCTAGTCAAAATTACGTTAATCAATTATATACATGTTTTTTCCGTTCCATTTATTAATAAAATTAGCTTTTCCAACAATTTATTCACAGTACACCATGGATTTTGTCGACCCATGGACGTTAAAACGCCTCTACTTTACATTTATATTACCAATTATTGAGTATTGAGCAGAAATTTGGAATTCACACTACGACAATATGTGCAAAAGAATAGAGTCAATACAAAAGCAATTTTTATTTTTTGCACTGAGGAGAATGGCCTGAGAGAGTATTGCTTGATGTAAGGATGAATTTCAAATCACACATCGAGCATGTTGTAGCTAAGGCAAAAATTTTATTGTATGATCTAAGGAGAATGGCCTGGAACGATTTTAGACGGTCAAAATACGAACACAGACTACTATTTCTGCAAATGTATACTCTTGAGGAGAGACACAAGATAGCGCAAGTGCCTTTATTTTCAAAATTATTCACGGAGATATAAAGTCAACTCATGTTTCAAACAGTATAAAATATTATGAATCAGCACATGATACCAAAGCAACACCACTATTTGATTTACCAATTAGAAGAACTGATTACACAATATGAAGCATATGTATTATATGATTACATCATTCAAGGATTTTTATACAAAAAAAAAACATGTCTTACATTCGTAAGATGAACTATTCCGCACTGTGATCCACAACATGCATTTATTACATATCTTTTTCCGTTAATATGAATTCATGAGAAATCTGAATCTGGCATTAATTTTGCGATACAAATAATTTCTGATACATTTTTCAATGCTTATATGATATCGTAAAGACGTAAAACTTTGCACACACAAAAATAACATTCTGAAATCTTGAAGGAATTTTAATACAATTCAGAGATGATTACGCACAAAAATTTCGTTTTCGAGAAAAAAATGCAAAATTTTGTATGGGAGGTACTCCTAAATTGTATTAACATTTCTTTAAATTTTATGAGATTGTAAATTTTGGAAAGAAAATAAGATTCACAAGTTTTTATGGTGATTAAATTACTCCAAACAAACATTTATTGCGTTTTGTTGATTCAAAATTGATCGGATTTTTTTCCCAAAATGTGTAGATACATTATTTTAATTACATTAAAAACTTGTAAATCTCATTTTCTTGCCAAACTACATAAACTCAGCAAATTTGAAGTAATTTCAATGCATATTAGGAGTACTTCCCATACAAAATTTCGTTTTTGAGCGAAAAATCCAAAATTTTGTTCGGGAGGTACCCCTAATGTGCATTGAAATTTCTTCAAACTCTCAGAATGTTATTTTATTGTGAAACGAATAATATGTGCAAAGTTTCAGCTCATTGCAATATCATAAAGGCAGGGCTTCCATACAAAAATTCAAAAATTTTTGTATGAAAAGTGTGTAGAAAATTATTTGGCATTATTTATTGAAAACTAATGTCATATTTGGTTGTCTCGTACAAAAAAAACCCCCAAAACATATTTTTGAGTAATTAATTTTTTGTGAATTGAAATGGGAAACACTTTTATAGTCATTTACTAATTTTTATTTTGTTTTATTACAATTGTTTCGGTATCTCAAAGACACCATCTTCAGACAATGCCGATTTTCAACTAAAACAAAAAATTGTGTGCGACAAGCACACGCGTTAAGAGATAAATAGTTAAAGAGAATTGTATATGCAAATACAATCACAATGATTTTAGTTTAAAGACTAATACATACAAAAAGGGGGGAGATGTTCATGCTAAACTATTTTGTCTCAATTAAAGTGAATAGCGAAGAAAAATGCGGAATTACGTCGCGATTTACATTGTTTTTTCTGTGTAAATAAATTTGCAGGGACTCTATAATATTCAAACGGCTACGATTTGATTCCGATGTAATTAGTTTAAAATTGTTGTCATTAATCCTGTGTTTTTCAGTTTAAATATGTTCAGCAAGGCCGCTTTTGAATGGTTCAATATTCTTAATGCTATTCAAATGTTCTTTAGCTCTTATTTTTAAGCATCTGCAAGTCTGACCTATATAAACACATTGACATGAATCACAATATGCTATGTAAACACCGGGTTTATCAATAATGTCACATTTGTCTTTAGTCGACACTAATAAAGATTTTAATTTTGTGTTACTCTTTGGAACTAAGTAAATATTATCATTTTTTAAAACATTTGATAACAAACTGAAATTTTTGGAATTGTACAGCATACTACAACGTTTTATGTCAGATTTCTCTACGAAGAACGATGAAACAAAATATTTTGATTTTTGTTTTAAATGATTTTTAACTAAACGATCAATAATGGAGACACTATAACCGTTTGTATTGGCGATGCGCATGATTGTATTGCGTTCCGTCTCAAATTTCGTCGGTGATAATGGGATGTTTACGAGTCTGTGTACCATGGAGTTAAACGCAGCATGTTTGTGTGAGTAGTGATGATTTGATTCAACCGGAATGTATCGGTCTGTAGTTGTGTTTTTACGAAAAATATCGAATATAATATTGTTGTTGTTGTCGCGTTCAATCAGCAAATCGAGAAACGGTAATTTTCTGTCTGTCTCTCTCTCGCAAGTAAATTGTATTTCTTTACAAGTTGAGTTAAACATCACTAAGGTATCATCAATTTTTGTCTTATCGACAACAGCAAAACAAACATCCACGTAACGATAGTAAATGGCTGGAAAAAGTGAATTTTTAATTAAATTTTGTTCAACTGTTATCATGAAAAGGTTGCACAAAAATGGACTTAAAGTATGACCCATGGGCAAACCATCTTTTTGCCAATAATAAGTATCTCGAAATTGAAAATATGACTGCTCGATGCTCATTTTGGTTAATTTTATGTCTGAGCACGAAACCATCGTGTCACCAAAATGATTGAAAAATGATCAAAAAAGTAAATTGTATGGATTGTGGGTACTCCATTCGGACCAAAGAAAATTACACCGGTCAACAGATATTGCTCAAAAAATAATCAGCACGTCTCCTAGTAGTCCCACATCAACCTGTAAGGTCAGAATTTGAATTGAATTTTTGGAAGAAGATTTATCAAGTTAACAAATTTTGGCAACACGCCACAGGACACAGGACACAGGACACACAGCGACGCACATTAATATGCCCCAAAATCATCTCCAATCGTGTTTTCTACATTTAATATGCATAGAAAACATGTTTTGGGGTGACTTTAATTTTTTGGCCTAATACAATACCTTTCCTACACTAGGTGTGCGGAAAAGTAAAAGACACAAATTTAGAAAAAAATGCACCAAATATAGCATAGATCACAAACACAATAAGATGAAGACACTTCTATAACAAATCAAATGAAACAAAAAAAACATATCGCGACCTTATTAATGCAGACTATAAACGAATAAATGAGTCGTTTCTTGATGTAGACTGGCATAATTTTTTTGATAAATATTCATTGGAATTAAGACTAAATTATCTAGTCCATTCAATTATTTTGTCAATAATCGAAAAACATGTTCAGTTGAAAACAAAAATCATCAGAAAACAACCGATGTGGTTTAACAAGTCATTGGTGGAGTTGAAGAACAAAGTCAGCAAAGCGTATCGAAATAGAAAATTACTCAACACACTTGAATCAATAAATCAATATAAAGAAATAAGAAGAAAATACAAACGCTGTGCGCGTTCAGCTATGAAAGATTATAGAATTGAGATGGAGAAGCTGTTAGATGATGATCCTAAGAAATTCTTCAAACATGTGAATTGCAAAAGAGGGAAGAGTGATGATCTTCCTCATGAGATGAATTATTTAGATGTAAAGGCAAATGACATATCTGCAATTGCACTTTTTTTTGCAAGACACATCTACAACTACATACAGCTCTTCGGAAGGTGATCTACAATATGACAACACTGAAATACAGAAAATTCGTGATATTTATGCTGAGATATCAACGATTGAAATAACAGAGGAGCTGGTTGGTCAACAAATAGGAATGCTATCGGATGATCTAGTCTGTGGTCCTGATGAAATTCCAAACAAATTCATCAAGCATTGTTTAATATCATTGCAAGAGCCAATCACAATACTATTGAAGTAATCACTTGAAACTGCCACTATCCTGCAGATATGGAGAACGTCATTTGTCAGGCCAGTCTACAAAAAAGGTGATAGAAACAACGTTCAAAATTACCGCGGTGTTGCGTTTCAGTGCATTTTGTCAAAAATTATCGATTCTGGATTCGATCGTCACAAACCATCTCAATCTATATTTGAAGAACATTGTCCACGAAAGTCAGCATGGATTCATCAAGAACAGGTCAACGATATCAAATTTAGTTGAATTTACTACAAAAACGATTATTAAAATGGGAAGGAGACATCACACAGACGCCATCTATTCGAACATTGCCAAGGCTTTTGACTCGGTTGACTTAAAATTACTTATTCGAAAAAAAGACATCATGGGATTGAATGAGCAGCTGTTAAAATGAATCGAATCTTACTTGTCTGGTCGCAAATTGTAAAGATAGCAGATATCAAATCTAACCCAATCAAAGTTACTTCTGGGACGGGTCAAGGATATCCCATTTGGCGCTACTTTGTTCATCATGTTTGTAATTGACCTACCTTTCGTCGTGACCAATTCATGCATACTTTCATTGATGATGATGATACAAAATTTTCAAAATGTATCTCCTCTGCAGATGAATGCATTAATCTTCAAAATGACTTGGATCGTGTAGCGGATTATTATGGACGCAATTTATTAAAATTAAATGTCAACAAAAATAAGATCTTATCATATCATCGGGTATCTCTGCAATATGAATAAGAATACAACATAGGCGGCGTTCAAATTGAAAGAGTCCTTGTAATACTTGGGAGTATTACTTGATGTGCAAATGAATTTCAAATCACACATTGAGCATGTCACAGCTAAAGCCAAATCAGGACTGGCTTGGTTAAAGTTCTACAGCAAGGATTTTATCGACCCATGGACAATTAAACGCCTTTATTTTACATTTGTATTACCAATTATCGAATATGGATCGGAAATATGGAATCCACAATAGTAAACATAATTGTGAAAATTAATCAAAACTGCTTGACGTAAAAATGTAATTATATTGTATTTATTTAAATTATTTTAAATAAACCACCAAGGCAAAGGAACGCTGTTCGGTGCAGTTATTATTATTATTAAATGATGAACGCCTTATAAATAAAATGTCTTACCTCAACAAAGTGACTCTGTATTCTAATTCGAATGATGAAGCTTATTTCCATCAAATATTTTGCCGATCGAAATGTTGTTGGAATATTCACAGTAAATTTTATCAGCACTCTGTTATTTCGTATTTAAAACAAAAATGAATGCAAAATCAACTGTGCGAATATATCCATTCCATGTGTTCCGAACACATAATACCGTTGCTGAAATGACAATAAAAATAATTTTCTAAAGCGTTCTTCTGCGGAGTTATAAATTAAATTAAGCAAATCTCTTTCCGAATAAATTGTCTATTTTTTTTATTTGATTTATATTATGTTATATTATTATTGGAAGTTACTTGAACAACCATTGGTATTCGTAAATTTGAATGGAAATTATACACATAATCACCGTTCTATTTGACACTAAAAACGTTACATTTTGTTTGTTGTTTTAAATATAGATATCTACTGATAAAAACTTTTATTTCGGTATAAAAAACTACAAAAAAAATAACAGTAATTTTTTTTTTTTGAAAGCTGATATTATTATTATTACATGTTGAATTCCTCCATACTTTGTAGCTCGTTAGAAATTTTACGGCAAATTCTGGCCAAATAAAATTCCAAGGAATTTTCGTCTTCCCATTCAAATATGGTCAAACATTCACTCAATAATTTTTTCGCCTCCATAATGTGCTGACCACGATTTGCTACTGATGCCGAATTTTTCTTTATGATTGCACCAATTGATGTATAAATTTCATAGATTAACATCGCACGGGCACGATTCAAGCCCGGTTGTAAAATAGATACTACATTCAAAACTTCTCGACAAAGTGCAATTTTCCGATCCAAGCACTCAAAAACGACAGCATCATTATCAATTTGATTACTGAGATGCCAACCGTACATATCGATTAGATTTTCTTTCAGAGAGATTAGTAGAAAATGGTTTGAATGCAAAATTTTGCTGTACTTCGTGAAAACATTTTCACACAATTTAATATTTTCAATTGTTGTTTCAATTTCCTGTAATTGCGCTATTTCGCCATCGATTGTTTTTATCAACGATTGAACGGCTGAACCGGGTGTCATGAATGAACATTTCTGACATTTATATTCGGCAGTTTCGTCTTTCAAAAAAAAAATATATAAATTCCTTGATTACAAATTATTATTCTAATAATAAACATACCGAGTGGATTTGTCGGAAGAATAACGCCATCTTCACATTTCTTACACAACAGAGAACTAAAATTGGTACCCAATTCAGATGCATCAGTGCATCTTTCACATTTACAAATGAAAAATTTTCCTTTCTTCAAATTATTTTGCCTTTCACGAGTACCTGATCAGAAGAAAAGAATGGAAAAAATGGAAATTAATCAATGCGTAATGGATCAGGAATTTTTAAGTAAGTATGCCTCACGAGTACCGCTTAGTATGTGAGTGTATGTTGTTAAAAGTTCTTCTCCTTCTTTTACATTAATACTGGTCCGCATTACAAGCCTAAAAATAAAACATAATTAAAATAGAAGATAGTTTTTTAATAATAAAATGAAGCTCACTTGTAGTCTTTGCTGGGTAAAATTGAATGCGTTGTATTTGGAACACATGAATGTGCGAGTACAGCTGCATTTGGATAAATGCCACGAACTTTATGACCTGCGAGTGGAAATGAATCGTTGCGGCGAAAGAGTAGCTCTTATTTTTCTCCAAATAATACTGCAACATGAAGTTTTTTATGAATAGTTTATTTGTTGTATTACAACAAATAAACCATGTGAAAAAAACTTCATGTTGCAGTATTATTTGGAGAAAAATAAGAGCTACTGTTTCGCCGCAACGATTCAAATAAAGTAAGTGCATATAATGGAAGTGATTGAAAAAAAATTCAACTGTATTACCTTTTGCTGTTCGTGCCTCGAATGCATTCACTTCTAGTATTCCACATGCTTGTTGTATTAAATCTTCTGAGAAACGATCCTTGAGTTTCAAGGGCCCTTGTAAATATCCAACAACCTGAAAATGACAACGCAAAACTTAGGGCACAATTGGACGAAAATCGAATGGAATTACGTTTATTTTGTCAGCATTCCAAATTTTCGAGTTTTTTCGTATTTCAGAATGGAATTCCATTTTTGAGATTTCATTCTTCCATCTCTCAGCATTAACTTCTTTTTCCAAACAGATTCTATAAAAAACAGATAAATTAGATTTTCATGAGACCGCCCGTGAGCTCTGGAAAATTTTACTCACCTCAATGGCGTAATGCAATCCAACTGCAAACATATTTGATGAGGTGTTGAAAGGTTATGGAATTTAACTTTATTCTGAACAAACAATTCACATTCTTTCGAATGATTTTTTCTTGATGAGTTCAATTTGCATTCATCGCACATCGGCCAACCGCACTTATTACATCTTGTTCCGTAAATGGTTCCATCGACTGGCGCATAGCACTCTAAACAAATTGCTGTGGAATCTGGATTTGGCCCTATAACAAATGGAGCTTCTTCAAACACTACTGATCCGGCCGTCAATGCTTTGGTTGCTGTTGCATATCGACCCACTATTTTTTTTTCTTTAATTTGAAAAGAAATCATTTTTTTACAATTTTTTTCCTTTAAAATTGATTGAAAAAGATTGTATTCTTGCGTCAATACAATTTGAACTCAATTTGAGTATTAAAATCACATTCGACGAATAAAAATCTATTTTTGATTTTTTTGCGCTCACACATTTCTACGCATGCTCAGTAAACCTCTGTCAATGTAAAATAATCAAAACCAAATGCAAGCAAAATTCAAACTGATTGGGCCGTATTTGGTTTGTGAATAATTTTTCAAAAATAATTTCTTTTAATATCACAAATTGGCTGAAAAAATATAAGAAAACCCATAATTTGATTTTACTGATTTAAAAAAAACCAACGATTGGGATATCAAAATTTTAAATGTTGTTTGGCTTATTTGTTTTGATTAAATCACGATGAAAAATGAAAGAAGAAAAATGTATTCGAAAAATATGTAGAAATCTGTAAGATAATTTTCAAATAAAAGATTTCTATAATTCTTAAAACATGTTTAGGCGGTGGTCAAATAGAAACGATTCCCTGTTCTCGTAGTGAACGAACCCCAAAAAATTTAATTGGAATACTCCGAACAACTGTCAAAGAGTTATAAGTCAGTTCAGATATTCGAAATTTTGTTTAACGAAAGAAAAAAACCAATCAAAAATTTAAAGAATCAAAGGAAATTATTTATTGAAGTAAAAATGTCATCAGAAAGTCTTCGTAAAGCACTTTTTGCCGTGGCAATCAATAAGAAAAGTGACAAAGTTCAGCAAAAAATTCAACAACAAGTCAATTTGACTCTTAATGAATGGGGGTAATTTGAATTTCTTCGATTCTTTTTCCATTATCATCATTCACATAAATTCTATGATATGCAATATGTCCATTGTTTTCTTTTCTGATTCTCCTCCAGAGCTATATTACATGGTTACGTGAATATTACATCTCAATTAACACAAGTAAATAAATTAGCAGAACAACAAGAACATATTACATGTGTTCGTAAAACACTAAAAGAATGCACCGATCTAGCAAAAGCTGGTACAGAAACATTTGAAAAAATTTGGCGTTTAGTTGAATTATCGCTGCCAATTTCAACAATGGATCACAACTGGATGAAAAGTGTTTTAAAACACAATAAGTTGCTGATCGAAATTAGGGAATCACTGTCATCGCTGCTACTGTTCTCATCAAATCGAGAGGTCATTGAAGTCGTTCAAAAAATGATGCTTCAAATCACCGAGGTACAATCAAGAATCAATGTTTTGTCAACAAAAGTTCGGGAAAGTGTGGCAGAAATGTTCCGACTTCGGTCCGAAAGTTTCAGCCGTTTGGAGGAATTGGATATTGACGAAGAGGAAGAAGATGCAAAGGAATGATACGATTTTTATTAACTATACGTAGCATTTTTGGATTTTTTTTTATAATTAAATAAATACAATTCAATGAGAAAAAAAAGAATTTTATATTTTCTAAATGTAATATACAATAAAAAATATTCATATACTCAGTATGTGTTGCTTAACTGTCAAAAAATTTCATTACCTAGAGTTGATCAGAATAAAAGAATGGAAAAATGGAAATAAATCAATGCGTAATGGAACTTAATAGAAATTGAAATTATAAAAAAAAGTATATACTTTAGTTAAGTAAAGTACGTTAAGTAAAGAAAATAAATGACCACAACAACAACATTGCTTAAATTTAAGATTTCATTGAAGCAGTAGAAGTGTTGAGATCGTTGGTCACTGTGAAAAGAGAATTGTGTAAACTGTGAAAACTAATATGCTTACTATTTCTAGTACTTGTTAGCATCGTCCACTACTATCGTTCGCGTAGACGTCCGTGCTTGTATTTTTGATTGTTGATTTTAATTGATGTAAGTTGAGTAAGATGATTTTGGGGCATATTAATGTGCGTCGCTTTCTGTGATGTGTCCAGTGTCCTGTGTCCTGTGTCCTGTGTCCTGTGTCCTGTGTCCTGTGTCCTGTGTCCTGTGTCCTGTGGCGTGTTGCTAAAATTTGTTAACTCGATAAATCTTCTTCCAAAAACTCAATTCAAATTCTGACTTTGCAGGATGATTTGGGACTACTAGGAGACGTGCTGATTAGTTTTTGAGCAATATCTGTTGACCGGTGTAATTTTTTTTGGTCCGAATGGAGTACCCACAATCCATACATTTTACTTTTTTGATTATTTTTCAACCATTTTGGTGACATGATGGTTTCGTGCTCAGACATGAAATTCAAAATCTGATTTTTCGGGATGATTGGGCATGACGAGGAATAGATCTGGTCAAATTTTCAACGACATTGATTGATCGGTGTAAAACTTTCAATTTGAAAGCTGAAAGAATGTGTAGTGGGGGGTTTTTGGCATGAGAAACCCGAATCTGATGTTAGTTTTAGGATGCAATCAATTTTTCACAGACTTTTTAACAAAAATCCACAAAAAATTTCATTTTTGTATGAAAGACTTGCCTTTGTGGTACCGTAATGATGTGAAACTTTGAAAAGGCTATATTTTTGATTGAAATTTCTTTAAACTTGGTGTGATTATTTATTTTGATAAGAAAATAATATTCACGAGTTTTCACGGTAATTTAAGTTACTGCAACCATACATAGACCATCATTTCAGTTTATTCCCAAAATTTCGGTTCCACGCGGAAAAGTCAGCTTGCGTTCGTAAGCCTCTTTATTTTCATAGCGATTTATTACTCAATTTGTACTCACAGAAAATATAGAGTAAGGTGGGGTAATGTGTACCACTTTTTTGTTTAGTCCCATAAAAATATAAAAAAATTGAATATTTGAACAACTGATGGCTCTATTCTGTAGAGAGAGGAAAATTCTAAATATCTGTAAGGGCAGATCTTCATAATTTTGGTTTTTTCATATTTTTTTTCACATTTTCAAAAATGAAGATTTTTGGACTTTTTTCAAAAGGTGGGGTAATGTGTACCAACATTAAAATTTGATAATAAAAATCATAAATATCCACAAAAATCGTCTTAAATGTTCAATTTAGGCTTTTTGAAGACTAATCAACGAAGATATGACAAAAAAAATATGTTCACTTTCATGTAATCGGCCCCCGAGGGGGAGGGGTACGATTATTTTTTCCGATGCCGAATTGAGGTTTTTGGTGTGGAAATACGTCCTTGAAGAAGGTGTCATTTTTAGGGTAACTTTTGATGCTCCAGCGATTGGCGCCGTTACTTTTCGACCCTGACACTCCCCCACCCCTTTATAATGTCTTTTTTTGCCTCCCAACTTTGGAGTGGAAAAAACACCCAAAATCCCAATCACACTCAAGGTATTTCTCAGTCCTCTTTCAATTTGTATCATTAGTTTTGACCCCCTTAACCCCGTATGAGATTGTTCTGGTTTGAAACTTCCGACTCTTTCCGACGATTTAAGGTCCCTGTGGTTGGAATACCCTGTGGTGGTTGGTGGGGGTAGTTGGAGGGCAGCTGACCCAAAACGTTTTTCTCATCATTTTGAATAACTTTGTAGTACATAATTTTTTTTCTTCGAGAGTAAATCAGTATATTGGAAATATTTAAAATCAATTGAAATCATTTCAAATAATTTTGAATCACATTGAATAATTTCAAATCACCACGTGACATTTTGTGTGAAACTTTGCAGTGAAGTTGACTGTCGATGTTTACATGAATATCGTATGCAAAAATATCAAAAATTAAAAAATGCAATGAGATTTATTATTGTCTGATTATATTTTTTAAATGCAATATCCTTTAACGGCATACTTGAATTTTTTGATACTAAAAAAATGTTCTATAAAAAATAGGTATCGAAGTGGAGTTTGATGTTTTGACTTTTTAATTCAGTAATAAGTTGTCAAACAAATTCAAATCAACTCAAATAAATCCAAATAACAATGAATCATATAAATCGTGTCTTCCCCTAGGGCAAACTGCTGGACAAGTGTCACCATTTACCTCACATATTTGGATTCACCATGAAAACCTACCTCACTTTTTCAAACAGTAAAAATTGATCCAAGGAATCCCGAAACCCAAAAAAAGTCATTTGATTTTTGATAACACTTTTATAAGGGTTTATGTTACGACGAATGTTAACAAACATGATGAACAGCGTAGCGCCAATGGGATATCCTTGACCCGTCGTAGAAGTAACTTGTAGTGGGTCAGATTTGGTATCTGCTATCTTTACAATTTGTGTGCGACCAGACAAGTAAGATTTGATCCATTTTAACAGGTGCTCATTCAATCCCATAATGTCTAGTTTTTTAATAAGTAAATTTAAGTTAACCAAAGCCATAGAATACTCAGCCATAGAATACTCAGCCATAGACTAGTGGTTAGCGTGCCAGGTTTGTGAGCATGAGGACACGAGTTCGATTCTCGGTCAAATTTCGTCACAACGTGTGCACAACGAATAATCGGTTCAGCATAGACACACGTTAAATGGAGTGCCTTTACGTTAGGTTGGTGTCTTGGATATGTCAAAACCGTAAAAAGGTAGTGCTGAACTATTGGTGAATATACCGGTAAATCAGTGGTGGTAGTATTCCTACATTGAATAGAGGAACCCAACGCCATCTGGAGTATGGTAGAGTTATGAGTGTTCACAACAACTGCAGTGAGTTGGGTCCTAAGTGAAGCAATGGTCTAGGTCCTGCCGAGCAGCTATGGTCACAGAAGGGCCCTGCCGAACAGCAAGGGCTGCTGAAGACCATGCTGAACAGCAAGGGCGAATGTGCCGAACAGATGGAACCCCAGCAGTCTAGTAGCATCATAACTCAAACGGGCGTCTTGCAATAGGTAAATTAACCTGAGCAACGAGAAACTATGGATATTACTGAAAAGTTGACCTAGTATGCTCCCCGTACAAATCCAATAATCCAATAATCCAAGTTAACCAAAAAGTCAAGAGCCTTTGCAATGTCCAAAAAGATGGCGTCTGTTTGATGTCTCGTTCCCATGTTAATAATAATCGTTTTTGATGTAAATTCTACTAAATTTGTTATCGTTGACCTGTTTTTGATGAATCCATGTTGACTTTCGTGGAAGATGTTCTTTAATTATAGATTTACCAGTCATATTTGCTGTGCGTCTCAAACAACCAACCGCGTGGCACTGGCAACGGTTGTTGTAGCCGTCCTCGTTGCACTCGTTGCCGCTGTTGCCGTTGTTGCCCACCTCATGTATGTCTAGTTTCATGTTCGCACATGCACAAAGCCGGTAACGGTATGTTGTTTTGCTCGAATTGGAAAACAATCGAACATATTGTTAACATTATTGCGTATTGACAGCATTCGTTGTGCATTGGTGAGTGTGTATCTTAACATTTAAATCCTTTTGCAATTCAAACGCAGTTTTCTGGTTCTTCGTAGCGACAAACTTTACACATCTTGTTTTCAATGACTGGCTAAAATAAAACGTACAATGTTGTCGCTGTTACGTTGCTCCGATGCTGTTGTGTGAACACCGGCTCATCTCTCTACTACATACCAAACCTCAAATTTTTGTCAGCAATGTGTTTCAAATTTTTGTCAACAAGCTTTGATGTCATTATTTATGTTTGTTTTGCATTTTCACTTTGACGTAGAAACATATGGTTACATACAAATGTCAATGTTTAAATTGACAATGTTCGAATACAGCATGTTTCATATATGTACGAATCAATAAGTAATGGAACAGAATGGAAAATGAATCGAGGGAATGGATCAGGAATTGTGGAGTAATGGAATAGTTTTTGTGCATTATTCAACAATTCCTGATGCATTCCTTCGTTTCATTTCCATTCTGTTCCATTACTTATTTTTCCATTCCTCCATTCCTTTCTTCTGATCAACCCTATGTAATTCCATACGCTTCCAGTCCTACACATACACACACAATCGGTTTGAAGCAAAGTGTAGTGTTTGACAACAAAATGAAACACAAAAAAACCTTTTATAGTGTATATTTAGAAACAAAGTCAATGAAAAAAGTCGCTTTGTAGTACACACATAAAATTCTTAGCTTTCGAATTATTTTCTCTATTTGCTTTGATTAAATTTTTGTTTTGTGAATTCACTCAAAAAAATTATGTCATCCAGAGCATTTGCCCAGAAATTATCTAAGTAATTTTATTTAAATAAATTTTAATTATTTTTAAGGCGTCGATATTGTGTTTACAGCTTGACCAAATCGATATATTTTATTGATATGGTAATGTCCAATGGTATGAAAAATATTGGCAAACTAATTTATTAACTATTGGAAGTCTATTGGTAAAAATTTGAATATTTTGTATAATATGTTATTAGAATGTTATTGGGAGTCAAGCTTAATATGATGATTTTCAGTTGAAAATTATTTTTAATCCAATCTTTTCACTTTTATAGACATCAAGCAAGCGATGTGCGGAAAAATGTTGCCAATTTTCACTTAAATGGTAAAAAAAATATTGAATATACAGCGGAAAGAATTGTACTGAACTTGTATTTTTCTTCTTATTTTTCAATAGCAAAAAGTGAAAGCTGCAGTTCTGCTGGTTCGGCTGGTTCATCATCGGTATGGTTCTTTTTGTATTTAAATTAAATTTTAAATTTACGACACCTCAAAAACATGTTTTCTGGACGTTTCTGAGGTCAGAGAACCCGAATCAGGCCGTTTTGAGCATGGTTGTTGTGGATCTGTTCCATCGATTATTTTAACCCCCAAAAAAGTTATTTAAAATCTGACTGTATAGGATGATTGGGGGCGCGAGGAAAAGAAATCATTGGATTTTGAGCGAATTTGGTTGATGGAAAAAAATTTCATGCCTGGAGTGATACCTATGAAAAAGAGTCCAATTTTCGTCCAAAAGTCATACTTAATGTAGTCATACTTAAACACTCAAAAATATGTATTGGGGGGTTTTTTGGCACGAAAAAACCAAATCCGAGGTTAGTTTTGAGATACAATAAATTTTTGATACAGTTTCCTTGAAAAAATCACAAAAAAATTGAATTTTTGTATGGGAGCCATGCCTGTATGCTACTTTAATGACGTGAAACTTTGCACAGACTATTTCTTACATAAAAAAATAACATTATGAAAGTTTGAAGAGATTTTAATCAAAATTGGGGGTACGTCCCATACAAAAATATTATGACTTTTGGCTCAAAAACGAATATTTTGTAAGGAAGGTACTGCTAATTTACGTTGAAATTTCTCCAAACTCTCCGAATGTTATTTTTTGGCGAAAAAAATAACCAGTACAAAGTTTGACGTCCTTACGATACCATACAGGCATAATATCCATACAAAAATCCAAATTTTTTGTGACTTCTGTATGAAAAGTGTTTCAAAAATAATTTTTATGGTAAAATTAACGTCAGACATATTACTTTTCCGCACACCCAGTGTGTAAGGTAAAGTATTGGAATCGGTCGAAAAATTACCACCCATCTAAAATGTGTTTTCTGGGTGTTTTTGGGGCCAGGGAACACGAATCTAGCGTTTTTTCGATGGCCGAATGTATGTGCGTACCCTGTACGCTGTACGCAAAAATTTGTTAACACGAAAATGATATTTAATGTATTCTTAAACACTCAAAAATATGTATTGGGGTATATACATATGTATGTACACGTAAAAACATGACGTTAGTTTTGCGATACAAATAATTTTCGACACACTTTTCATACAAAAATTTCAAAAAATTTGGATTTTTGTATGAAAGCCATGCCTGTATGATATCGTAATGAGCTGAAACTTTGCATAGGTTATTTTTTTCACACAAAAATAACATTCCGAGGGTTTGAAGAGATTTCAATGGATAGTAGGGGTACCTTCCGAGCAAAATTTTGGATTTTTTGCTCAAAAACGAAAATGTTGTATGGAAAGTACCACTGAATGTTAGCTTTTTGTGAAAAAAATAAAATCTGAAAATTTTCACATGATAACGATATCATACAGGCATTGAAAAGTCTATCAAAATTATTTGTATCGCAAAATTTATATCAGATTCAGTTTTCTCATGAAATCACATTTACGGTAAAAGATACGTTATAAATGCATGTTGTGGATCACAGTGCGGAAAAGTTCATCTTACGGATGTAAGACATTTTATTTTTTTCTAACATATGAATCGTTGCGGCGAAAGAGTAGCTCTTATTTTTCTCCAAATAATACTGCAACATAAAGTTTTTTATGAATAGTTTATTTGTTGTATTACAACAAATAAACCGTGTGAAAAAAACTTCATGTTGCACTATTATTTGGAGAAAAATAACAGCTACTGTTTCGCCGCAACGATTCATATGTCCATGAAGTCTTGACAGTAAATTCAGATGTTCGCCATTTGAACAACAAACATACAATATAAAATTCTTTTTTATTGGTATAAACCTTCATTAATGGGCTACGAATAGCACATTCACCTTACACTGAACGGGCCATTGTCTTCGATTTTTCTCAGTATGCGTCGAACCTTCAAAATCATGCTTTGGCGGACCAATATGTCGATTTCTTTCAACTTTCTCTCGAACCTTCCCGCTAATTGTTGCTTGTTTCAAGTATTTTGGACCTTCGCCTATAACTTACATCCAAAAACAGACGAGAAATAATTAATTTGGTGTCTTTTTGTGAAGTTAAACAGATGGTCCTTTGTTCACGGAAATGTCATATTTTAAGAAGTGAGCCATTATTGTGGTTTTTTCCGCTTGCAAACCAAAATTTTGTGTTAAATCAGATAGTTCTCAATGAGTTCTATCGATTTCAACAACAATTGGTTGATAATGGAGCATGTAATGGAGGTTTTACCTTACGTTTCAGCACCAAATTCTCGAATATTGGCTCTAAAACACCTTCCAAAGAAGATCCTACCATACAAACACGCCTTCATCAAAGTTCGGTTTGTCGACGTCTCTAGCCTTATATAGTAGTGCCCTAACATAATCAATGCAAAAGAAACCACTTGCACTTGATTCGTGGTTCGACATAGCGATGAATGTTTCACTGTCCAAAATGATGAATTTTTCAGTGAGGTGAAGTAAATACCTAACCAGTAATAGTACCATGGTGTGACTCGCCGATTTAGATGGACATATGTCCATTGGATAGAATGTGCGGAGAAAATAAGTTTGTGAAAATTAGGGGTGCGGAGTCGGGGTATTAAGGGCAGGGGGGCACCCCCATTGTCAAAACTTCATCGGATCAAAAAATAATGTACTACAAA